TTTGTTGCCTCTCTCTCTGATTCTTACCCATAAGCTTTCGACCTGCTCGTGGCTATTTTTCAGGGACAGCTCTTCACACTGTAATGATTTCTTGATGTAAAGGGCAATGCCCCTGCCCCTCCTTCCTCACCTGTCCCTTATGAACAGTCTGTAGCCATCAATAGCTACATTCCAGTCGTGGGATTCATCCCACCAAGTTTCCATAATGGCAATCATGTCATAGCTTTCTAGCAGCACGATAGCTTCCAACTCCTCCTGTTTGTTTCCCATGCTGCATGTGTTTGTGGAGAGGCATTTCATCTGAGCTGTTGGCCACGTTACCTTCATAGCAGAACACCCCTTGTTTCTCTTGAGATGTTTCATGGGTAAGAAAGGGGATGGGTTGTGGGGAACCTACAGGCACTGGCAAATGCTCAAAACACCACAGCTTGGTGCTGGAAGCAAGGAAACAGGAATAGGCCCAGGAGAGTATAGCTGTGGTGAGGATGGCCAAGGGCTTTGGTGGGAATTTGGCACCCAACGGAACTGAGACCCTTTTCCTCTTGGCTATGGCTTCTGTCTATTCCACTGAGACCCACTAGAGGACATAAAGTCCTTACAGCTCCAGCACCTAATTGCCTCCTCACCCATCCTCCACAGAGCCTGGGAGGTGTCCTAACACTGACCGAGACTGGCATCACTCACTGCCACATCATTTTCCCCCAGGAATAGCTCAGAGCATCCCATAAGGGAAACACATCCCCTCCATAGGGGATGGGAATCCGGGCTTGGTCATCCTGCCTGGTGAAGCACATCAAGAGCTTTCACAGTGTTCTCCACACTGAAGTTTCCTCCTGTACCAAATGTCTCTGACTCTCTGCTTCATCAGCCCCCAGGGACAGAACCTCGTCTGCTCCTGGTTACCTCAGTGATGGACTTCAGCAGGGCCTGCTCACACCCTCAGAAACCTGGAGGTTTGCTGTTTTTACTTCTCTGGAGGCTTGTTCCTTCTCTCAAGATCTGCACTTACGGAGCTTACCATACAAAACACGCTAAGGAGCCAAGGCTGGGCACAGATCTCTTTTAGTCTTCAATTCTTACGAGGCTCATTAGAGAGAGATCTCAGGAGTGCAGTCAAAGTGAAAAGATGTCCAAGAAAAGAGGCCAAGTCAGTAAAATGCTTGGTTTTGAACAGCCAATTCTGCATTGATCCCAATGTATTTGGTGTTGTGGTTTGTGTTGGGGGCAGGCAGCTGAAGACAGCCACTCACTCCCCCTCTCCACCGTGGGATAGGGGAGAACATCAGAAAAAAGAAGTAAAACACACAGGTTGAGATAAAGACAGTGTAATAAAACAAACATTAAGAA